GGGATCCCCATTGCCAGACCAATGGATTCACAAGTGGAATAGCATGGGTTCCCAGATGGAGACTATGGATGGGCCTGACAGTGTGGCCTCCTACTCACCAATGCTGTTGTGACCATCTCTGTCCAATGTCCTATCTACAAGCAATAAAAATCAGATGACACCCCCTCTCCCAGATAGCAAAATTTCTTGAGGAGATCAGCCAGTTACTTTTCAACAAGTTTATTTCAGTGGACTCTGTCCATCCTAGAAAGCACAGCCTTTCTTTTTGACTGGCACCAACACAGATTTACCCTTCCTACCCTATTGTGGAAATTACAGAATATTTAATCCATTGGCTCTTGTCATGATAGAGAAACCTAAAATGGATAGCAGAGAAGGAAGGTTATGACTAACCATTGCAGTCTTGAGACCAACAGCACTGACAGGAGCTGTAGTTTATTTCACTAAACTTACTATAAATTTCCCGAGGAGAAAGAGTAACCGGATGCAGTGGAGGCACTAGACAAAGAGGAGACTGTAAGGAAAGCCCAGACACATGGCCCCAGGTGCATCCTTTGAGGCCCAGAAATCACTGACACGGTCACAGCTTACACTTATTCAGAAATCATACTCACCCAAAAGGATCTCACCCAAAATAGCACCCTTTTGCCAGTGCACATTCAGTGTCTGGTTCTTGCAAGGGTTCAAATGGTCCGGTCTTCCTGCCTGGTTTCAGTATATATCAAAATAACAATCTCAGCACCAGAGCTCCCCATGCAGGGCTGGCTGATTTCTCTGTTCCAGTTGCTTTGCAGCTCAGCTTCTCCCATACCAGTGTCACTTCACTGGCTCACATGCATTCTTCCAGATGACATTTCCAATAAAATCTCTCAATCATGTGTTCATATTCAAGCCCATTTCCAGAGGGCTTAATCTAATACAATGGCATTTTCAGTGAGGTCTTCCGAGTACACGTTACTAAAACTTCCAACCCCTAGACTTCTCCATCATTACATACTCTATATGCTATACTCTTCTTACTTGTGTATTTCATAGCATGCTTTATCATCTACAATTCTATAAATTTACATATTTGGTTTATTGTCTCTGTGAACTTCCTCATCTCCCCCCATCACACACACACACACACACACACACACACACACACACACACACAAAGTTTAAGTTCTGGGACGGAATGCATCTGAGTATTTTGTTTACTGATTTATCTCCCATGCCTGGCACATGACAGGAGACTAACTGCTGCATAAATAAACTCCTGCAATTCCACAGTTGATATTTTCCACTTGCAAGCTCTTAGAAAGGAGAATAATGCATTTCCTAGATGCAGCAGAGACCTGTCAAACACTCTATTATCCACCCACCAGTCACCGTTTATTTCTATAAGTTTCTTCTATCTGCAGTCAGTCAGCTTAGAGCCTGCAGACAGAAAAGAAGACCTGGAGTGCACAGGCACAGGAAAGTGTGCTGCCCACTGCAATCTACCTCCAGTTAATGACCAGCAGCAGACCCCGCTTAGGATTTGGAGAGGAAGGAATCATGCAGTGCTTATAGAGGGTATGAAGTGAGGGGAAGAGCACAAGCATTATGCTCTTTTGTAAAGAATGGATAGTATGGGGAAACCACATGCCTGGGAGAAAGACATTCTTAGTAAGGACAAAAGCATGAATGAAAACCAAGATGGATGCCTAACTAGGAGAGAGACAAAAACAAGAAACAACAAAAACACCTCTGCCAAAATAGAGAATGCAGTCTGAAAAATACTGAGAAATGCATGTGGATAAGTTAAGTAGCGCTGACTAGACTACTGAGTATATGGCAGCAGCAGTACGATAGAAGACAGTCATCAGCAGGGAGCCACTGACTTTTTGTTTTTCAGTAAGAAAATAGTAATGGCGAGCATTGGGTTGGGGCAACTCCGCCTGGCCCAGTCCAACAAGACTGAGCGAGGGCAGAGACTGGAATCTGGAAGCTTTAGTAAGAGGTTGTTACAATAAGCAAAAATGAAGTGACTAAGGACAGAGATAGAAAGGAGTTAGTAATGCTACCATATTTAGTAGATGTATTTTACAAATCTTACAATAGACAGAACTGGGGACAGGAGGAGGCACTCTGGGAACCAACTGTGCCTGCCATTCAATCATTATTATACATATAATCATATCCTGGTCCACAAAGAAGAGTGCCCGGAACCAGTAAAGGTAGAAACCACCTCCAATAGAAGTATATATCCATACTGCCCATTAAGACATAAAAGTTTGGGGGCCGGTGCCGTGGCTCACTTGGTTAATCCTCTGCCTGCGGCACCGACATCCCATATGGATGCCGGGTTCTGGTCCTGGCTGCTCCTCTTCTGGTACAGCTCTCCGCTGTGGCCCAGGAAGGCAGTGGAGGATGGCCTGGGTGCTTGGGCCCCTGCACGCGCATGGGAGACTGGGAGGGGGCACCTGGCTCCTGGCTTTGGATCAGTACAGCGCCGGCCGCAGCGGCCATTTGGGGAGTGAGCCGACGGAAGGAGGACCTTTCTCTCTGTCTCTCTCTCTCACTGTCTATAACTCTACCTGTCAAAAAAAAAAAAAAGACATAAAAGCTTATAACACTGACAGTGTAACTTACTGCATCATCTGCATGCACTAACTTGAAACAGCAAGTGTCCCTCCACTCCCTCAAGACTGAAAGATTGCTCTTAAGAAATCCCAAAAGCCATGAGCTCTCTGGAGGAAATACCATACTCAGAGCTCCCAGAAGTGCACATTTGAGTACCATTAGCAAAGGAGAGATGGTTTGCCTCAAATTTCTTGGGAATATACAAGTGTGAAGGTCATTGCTAAGGCAGCAAGGGCTCAAACCACCCAGGAACACCGTGCTTGAAATCAACACCACTTATAAGATATGGAAACAAAATAAAGAATAACACAGTTGACAGCTTGTCTTGACAATTCCCAGCAGGAGCTAAGCCACTGAAGCTCTGAAGTCACAGGAATCAGCTACATGGAACATTCCCCAGGGAAACCCAATCTGATGATTGTAGAAATACAGATAATTAATATTGGCAAAAGAGACATTAAAAATCATGGACTGCAAACTGATTATTTGAAGCATGTTTCTTCCAGTGTATGTTGAATTGCAAGTGTTCAGCAGTAATCAATCAAACTTTTTCAAAGCTAATACCCCCTTCTGAAGATTTCACAGAGACCCCAACCAAATACAGCAAGAGGTAGATTCTTTGTACCATCTCGGATGGCAGCATTTCAATGACTTCAGGAATTGAAGGATTCTCTCTATGTATTCAACCTCAAGTCAGTTTTCCTTCGTGTATGACACTGCCAAAAGATGATTTCAGGCAGGAAAGCAACACAAAAAAATAAGAATTGAAAAGCAACGATTTATTAAAAGTCATTTTCAATGATTATTACAAAATACCACACCCTTCCAACACAATCTCTTTTTGCATTCTAGTTAGTAATGCAACTAGGAAGCCTTAGCAAAGCACCTGCCCTCTCAAAACCAGGGTACATTTTCCACAAAAAAAAAAAAAGGAGTATGTTTACATTTGAATGCAAATTGTGTCATCTATCCCACCAGCCTATTGCTGCTTTAGAACATAGAAGAATCCTATATCCAGGGAACCATGTATATTTCATTTCTATTTAAAAGCATAGGCAAAAGAAGACTTAATGTTCTGCTAAGTACTAACAGTAGACTATGAATTCGTAGGTGTGCTTAAATAAACTGAGCCAAGCAAATCTCATTCCTTTCAGGCCTTTTGTATTTGCAAAAGTAATGCCAAAAGATTTGCACCCATTTTTGCATTCCTACCTTTCTGCATCTTTCTGTGAGCAAAATGTGGCTTTGGGAGGGATGAAATCCAAGAAGTTTTGACTATGTTTATGTGTCTTCAGCATAATTTTTAAATATGGAAAAGTAAACAAAGCAGGAATATGTATTTAATCTGGCAGCCTATTTCCTTATTGTATGAACATGCAAAAACCCACCTGTTCAAACTTTGCACATGATCCCACAAGCACAGTACTGACAGCTTGATGGCCTGGCTGTATTTTAGCATTTTGTAGTTCAGCACCTTCACAAATCCTAAAATGCACATTGAAAGACTTATCTCTCCCACAGGTAACCAAATCTGTTTGTTTATAAGGAAAATGGTGATTTTCTATCTAATATGTGTTTTATGGTACATATAAATAAAATAAAAAATGAATTTCAACTTTTTAAAAAACCTGTGCAATATAATATTTGCCCACAAACCTGCAGATTTTCAGGGAGTATGTGATATCTGCTGGGGTGGTTGAAAACTATAAGACATATTTAGATGTGTTTATGGTTGTTACTTTTCAGGATGAGCCAAATTACCCACTGTTTCAAAGCACACTGGCTTTTATTCCCTGGGTACCAAATCAATACCAATCCTTCCAGCACTGCAGCTGTTGCCTAATGGCCCCAAAGAGTTAATGTGCTGCCTGCATAGAACACATTTGGGTGTCTACACAAAGTGGGCCCTCAATTAGTGTTGACGGATTGACTTTCTCACAGGCAGTAAAAGCTCAATTTATAGAAATGGATCCCATGAGATTAAAAGCAATCATTTCAGAAAATTGTGTGTTGAATTCTATGTTTGTAATAATACAATATCTATGAATAAAAGAACTATATGTATTTTTCCCATTGTTCTAAGAATGGAGTTTTCTAATTCACTGTTAGATTGTAAGACATTCCCAAGGATTTTAAGTTATAATTCACACATAGGAAGACCACAAAATTTGGATAATTTCACAAAAGTATTCTGATTATGATATAGGAGTGCTTATGAAGAATCTTAAGAGCCAAATATCTGAAGACACAAGCACCATCGACTTTCAGTGAGAATGAATGATTTGATTGCTCACTGCTGGTCATATTGATTGTGTAGATTTTTTACAACGTCCTACGTTATCTTAGGCTCTTGCTAAGGAAGATCTTCATGTTTGTGAAGATGTGCCAGAAGTTACCATTTAATTTGGAAGCATAATTAATTTCCTCTTCAGGATCCAGCATGGCTGGATGGTTTCAGTCCTGGATCAGGTGACAGATCAGAGAGCATCCTCTTAGTCAAAGCAGAATTTTATGACGGAGGGAATGGGCTGTTGGGTACCTCGGCAGACATTACTCTGGCATCCTGCGTCCAGGCCAGAGCTGTGCTCTACATTAGAAAAACTTTGAGCAAATAAAGCCACAAGTATCTTAACGCTGCAGAATGGGAAGTGGAATTAGCTCAGAGAGCAAGGAGTCAGCCAAAAGATCCAAGGAACTGGAGAAAAAGCTCCAAGAAGATGCTGAGCGAGATGCACGAACTGTAAAGTTGCTACTATTAGGTAACAGGTTCTTTTTAATTTTTGCTTTCAAAAATCTGTTTTCCTTCAACTGTGTGTTTACTTTCTTCAAAGTTTAATTTCAAATGTATTACTGTGAAGATTTATTATGAAAATGTGCACTTTATAAATATTTCATAATAATTTTCTGTTTATTATTTCATTACATTTTTATTAAGGAAAGAGATGAATATTTACTAGATGACTCAATTTCTCTGTCAACAATATGATTTACTCTTAGTAAAAAGAAACATTATATATTTGTTATTTTATTGCACCCTGATCATTCCCTGAATGCCATTTTCTAATACTGAAAACAGCTCTCTAATTATGTTATAAAGAACTGTATTATTTGTTTGAGCAGAAATGCTCCATTGTTTTACATCAAAGTTAATATGTTGTTTATTTACTTGTGATGGTAAAATCAATAAGTCTCAAGTTACTTAGATAGTATTCATAAAGTACCTTTATTTATGGTAATAACATGATTCAGACTCCCAAGTGCTGCCTGTGATATTATATGTACTCGTGACAAATACTCCATTTAAATCCTTCTACAGCATTTATAATATTTATCCTATTCAGGAATTGTCTTTTCTATTTTTTTCCTTCTGTTTTACCACAACTATAAGTTCAATAAGTGATCAAGTAGTCAAAAGAATCAAACTAACCAGAATGCTAAACATTTTCATAAAACATTTAACCTGCCGTGGTACTAAAACAGGCATGCTTTTGCAATAAAATAAATTCTTGCAGAAAGCACAAACTTTAATTAAATTAGAATAGTGTATTTTCCCTGATCTTAGTTATACATATACACAAAAGCACTTCATTTTATTTCAGAGTTGTGAATCTCACACAACAAATTGCCCCATTTCTGAGTGCTCCTTAGCTATGCCAATTTGCTCCCAGTGGCAAAAATGAACAACTGTAGAATCCCCAGCACTTGCTCCTCAAAGGAAAGGGTATGTTCTCCTGTTGATACACAGGTCCTGTGGCCGCACACATGCCCCTAGCATTTGTAGGCTCCCAGCTGGAGTTTAGGGACTTAGAAAGATATTGGGATCAGAGCTTACAGAATCAGCAAATGTGCTTTCTTTAACACTTCAGAGAAGTCTCAAAGGCTCTGATCAAGAGTGAAAATAAAGTAGATATAGATAAAACAAACAAAAGGCATGAGGCAAAGCCAAGCACATCTACAAGAGCCTTTTATATTCTTTTATACTAAGAACAGTGGTTCAAGAGTGGTGCGAAAATACATTAAGAATTCTTGTGTTTGAACAAAATTTTGCAAGAATAACATGGATTCTCATATTCTAATTATCTTTCTTTTCACATTTTCCTTATTATTTCATAAAAATAAAAATAGAAATCCAAAAAGTAGGGAGGCTAATGCTACAATTCAAAGGAAAATGTCATTAAATATGCCCAAAGCAATGACTCTTGAGATGAGTATATTAGAATAGCTGGTCCCTTGGAGATTTGATTGTGGAGAGAATAGGTTAAAGAATATGTACACATAACCCAAAATACATAATGCATAGCCAAAAACTGAGTCAAAATATGCAGTGTAATGATAAAGGAACTGGATTTTTTCCTGAAACTTTGGATTGAGATTCAGAATATTTATCTGGGCTTCCAGAATCAGAAAATTTGCAGCGAATGATGTTGGCCCAATTTATTATAGAAAATACTGTCAGATGAAGCAAGAACCACACCAACTACTTTCGATTTAGGTGGTAGGTTTTGACAAGAAGAAAGAGCAACATTGTACCAGAGATCTAGAAGAATCATATATGTTCTATATGTTCTACTTTCCCAAGATGATCACTGTTTTGTATATCCAGTTTCAACATTATCATATAGTACGCTTACATTTTTTTGGTTCCAACAATATATGTGTTAAAATTCTCAGTCACATGTTTCCTGAATACAAAATGAATCAAATCCTCTTTAATATTTCCTATTTCAGCCAAATATTTTCCCTTCTGGACTCTACTTGACGTCCATGTGTGATAATGATTCAATCATGAGATTCAAAACAGCGAAGGCCTTCAGTGATTCTGCTTCATTGTCATTTTGAACTTGAACTAATGCTCTCTACACTCTCATTTTTAGTTCCAATTTGGCCATAAATGTATATCTGAACCTTTCCACTCCCACACTCAAGTCACCTCACCAATGGAATCTATTTAATCTGCCCCACTATTGAAACAATGTCCTGTCTCACCATTGTGGTCGAAACACCAGTTATTAAGTCTGCCAGTGAGTGTATGTCTCATAGGACAAATCAATTTAATCTTGGTAGTTATCAATTTCTGAATATGGTCCTACATTTACAAAAATGAAAAATCTAGAAACAGCTTCAGCACAATACATTCTTTACAGTGATCCTCATTACCTGACGAATGTCTGGGTGCTTAGACACAACACACCAGCTTTCTAAACTCAATGTGTATACACAAGATTTCACTGACTCCAAAGAGCTATCAGATTGCTACTTTCCAAATAAAAGACCCTCTTGCACAGGTTCCTTTCTTATGGCATCTTTTAGGTCTTTGGTAAAATTAAAGGATAGATGTCACACCTGTGTTTTTCACAAGGAGCAGGCTTCTAGGAAAATCCAAAAGTGATTAATTTATTACTGGTACATTTGATAACTGCTATCAGACAATAATGTCATATGCTTTAAAAGAGTTCACTTCAATAAGATAAACAAATTCTACTGAGTAAAAGGCTCATCTTCATAAATGTCCTAAGCTAGTTTTCAGTCTTTATAAATGTTGTATTAAATTATATCCATTCAAGGTAAACACCTGTCCCGTAACTGTGGGGTCTATGTGGGTTATGTTTCCATTTTTCCAATGATTTCTCTCCTTATGCCTTTTGATTCACAATTAAGTTTGAGTGAATTCACGTTTTTACATATTTGTATTTTCACAAATTTTCATCATGTGAGCTGGTTAGATTCAGAGCCCCTGGAAAGTTTAGGGGAACAAATTATCTTTATTTTGTGTCATATTCAAAACATTCTGTGCCACATATCACATATAGTTAATATTCATCCTATAATACTCAGATACAATACTGTAATTAGCTTTTAGCCAGGACTTTGTAGCACCATGATGGGAAGTTAATCATGGGTCTTCTCTACTAGTTCTAAATCTTTCATTCTGAATTCTCAATGTGCTATATTGCAAAGATCACATCATTATTTCCAATTGAACCATCTGAGTTTATTGTTTTAAAATATCATTGATTATCTAGTTCTTAGAAATGAAAATTTGGATTAAGTTTAGAGAGCAAAGGAAAATTACTCTAAATGTGCTTCTAGGGGCCAGCGCCATGGCTCACTTGGCTAATCCTCTGCCTGTGGCGCCGGCATCCCATATTGGGGCCAGTTCTAGTCCCGGTTGCTCTTCTTCCACTCCATCTCTTTGCTGTGGCCCAGGAGAGCAGTAGAGGATGGCCCAAGTGCTTGGGCTCCTGCACCCACATAGGAGACCAGAAGGAAGCACCTGGCTCCTGGATGCGGATTGGCACAGCTCCGGCCATGGCAGCCATTTGGGGGGTGAACCAATGGAAGGAAGACCTTTCTCTCTCTCTCTCATTGTCTATAACTCTACCTGTCAAATAAATTTTTAAAAAGTGCTTATATTTATTGCAGCTAATCAGCATTTTCAAATATCCCAAATTGTCCCACATTTCAACAAATGAGTATTTTGCAAGGCAGTAAGTTTTTGTAGTGTTGCAGTAGGAAGATTTTAGTGACAATGACATTATCTAAAATCCTGTAAAATAATTGGTAAAATCAAGCTTACACAGCATAATCAGTTACATAGTTTTAACCACATAGCAGAGTGAAGGCAATGCAACTTAAAACTAGTGCAGCAAAAATGGTTTTTAAGTCATTTAAGGTCAAACTGATTTGTCAATATTTTTATCAAGTGTTATGTATTTTTATTACTTCTAAGAGTGATTTTGAGCTAGCTAATATCCTCAGAGAAATGACAGACTTTAGAATATGTTGTGAAGTATAAAAATTCAGACAGATGTGGGTTTTTTCTTTTGCATAGTAGATTCTCAATTCTGAAATATATGTCAATTAATGCATAGACTTTTCTTCCTCTGTCTTCCATGTATATAGAGCTAAGAGACAAGAAGACATAACACTCAAGTTATATCAAAGTTCTTATTGATATTCTGGGTGTTTTTATTTTAAATAGGGCTTTATTGTTCTCCTTGAAGAAAATCTCTAGGTATGAGTGGGAGAGACTGGAGAGGACTCATAGGTATTCCTGAATCACTGGCTAAATTATAAATTCACCAGATATAAGAAAATCTGGTTCCACCAGCACAGTCAAGGCCTGTCCGACAGTGTGATCAGATGAATGGACTCCCTGGAATAATTATGTTAAGAATAACCAGTAAATCTCTCCTAATCATCAGTGACAAGAGAAGAATCCTACAAACAACATGGAAGACATACTCTCAAATGATATTGCTAATTTTTAGTTTTGTTTCATTTGCCAGATTAAAACCTTTCTTCACCTCTTCCAACAATAATGTATTTTATTGTAAAATGTTAAAAGATAATTTATTTTATAGTTCTAAATGTATCCAATTTTCTGGATACATGAATATTTTTAGTACATAAAAATGGTTAAAATTATTGTTCAATGATGTGGAGAAAAAAGTTCTACTTCTATAGTTTCAAATTTTCTCCAGAGTACAGCATAACAATTCAAGATTTCCAGAGGCAAACAACAAATATTTATAATGTCTCATTTATTTTTAAAGAGTTCCAGAAGGCAATTTAAAATGTTTTACTATAATGTCTCTTTTCTAATAGCCACAATGCACTTAGACAACTGTTTTGCATATATTTGGTTTTTAAATTTATCTTAATTGATCAGCACACCTTAAATACAGACTCATAAATTGCTTACGTTAATGATGCAAGTCATTTACTAAAGCAGCCCATATCCAGGCAAATAATGCTA